TCATCCCTATCTAGAAAGAACAAAATGTCTTGATTCCCTCTTATCTCCTCTCCTTCCCCCTCTCTCCCTCTCCTCCTCCCTCCCTCTCCCCTCTCCCCCTCCCCTCCCCTCCTCTTCTCTTCTCTTCTTTTCTTTTTTTCCCATTTCTGAAAAGGTGTTCTGTTACAGTCTAAAGAATGAGCATGTGTTTATTTCCCTGATTCATGAATCTTGAATTACCTGGGATGGCATAGCCTATGAGAGTGTGTAAAATACTGAAGGTTTCAATATTTTAGGATCTACACTACTTTGGGCTGGTTTGTCTTCTGATAAATCATAGAAGAATAACAAGGAGAGCAGAAACTCACATCTTATGACTTAGAATCAGGACACTCATTTAAACCATGTTCTTTTGATGACAACAAGTGTTATGACCTAGCCTACCTCACTGAAACCACTCAGTGAGAAGCTCTGTAGACCATGACTGAGCTTGGATTTATAAATCTGTTAAAGTGAGGTGCTAAGGGTGCTTTCCATTGTTACCATAGAAGTACAGACTGTTAGACTTTTCTGTGGTGCTTCTGGCACCTGGGATACTTCTGCAACCAGAATGGAATTCCAGTCCTGAGAAACGAAAATTATAGCCAACACCCAGGAGGAACAGAAAGCTGAACAGCCAGCTTAGGGTAATGCAGGGAGATTATAACGAGATTGCTTAGAGAGCCACTGCTTTCTAGAGCTATAGAACAGGATTCCCCACAACAGTATAGCAGTTCAGTAGGTGGTGGAAATCACAGTTGCTGTTGGCAAGTCTGCATTAGTGACCTGGGAGACCAAGTTCAACACCCTTCTGTAGCACAAAGGGGTAATAAAATGTAAACCACTGAAAATGACTGAGATGCAATAATAAGACATAATGGTGCAGGAGATGGGACATGCTTGATTGCTTTTTATTTATTTTTCATAAAATAAATAGTGAAGGGTGAGGGATTTCCTTCCTTAGGATAAGTCACAGCATAGGTAGTACATGTCACTTTAATAGGGTAACTACAAATTCTCTTTGGAAATTTTATTCCCTTTCTGAGCTGATACAGGAAGCACAAATCAAACCAGGCTTAGAACTTACCTCATTTCTAGAGCACAGCCTAGGTACCCTCATGTTAGACAGATGTGAAATCTCAGAGAAACTGCAGATCTTTGAGGTCTTCGTTGCATTCTCAGGAGAAATAGGTGCACTCCATTAACATTTCATATGTGGTACAGATGTTTTCCTAGGAGAAAAAAAAACTTAATAGTGGCTGTTTTGAGCTAAAAGACACCAAAGAGAGCAGAGTGTGGGCCTAAAATTAGTTCTCTCTGTAGGCACCAAAACAAAGTAGTACTTAGTTTCCTATTACAGGAAGGTAGAACATACTTTTTAGGTCTCTTTGACAGGGGGATAAGAATGTGGAAGTGCTGGTAGGTTAGGAATCTTTTAACTTGTTGACTTTTGCCTTTAATGCTTATTAGCTTTTTTCTATTTGATGATGTTATATAAGTTTAAGAGGTTGTATTGGTTCGCTGAACCCTCAGGTGTTTCAGCTTCACAAATTCTGCCAGTATTATTAGCGTTTGTGCCCAAGAAGATGAGCAAATCAGTGAGACCTTCCATTTGGATTTGATCTGGGTACAGGTTACTATGACCTCATTAAGAATAGGTCCTCCTTGCTTTAAAAAGTTTGTTGAGTGGCGTGTGTGTGCATGTTTATGGGGGTATACTTGCTTGTCTGTATCAGTGCAGCAGCCAGAGGTTGATAATGACTGTGTTCCTCAGTTCTTCATCTCCTTATTGTTTGAGACAGTCTCTTCTGTGAATCTGATGTTCGTTGTTGGTTGTTTTTGCTTTTTTGTGGGGCCTGCCACCCAGCTCCCAAATCAATCACACATGAGGCTTAGTCTAAATTATAAATGCCTGGACTTGTCTTAGCTTGTTTCTAGCCAGCTTTTCTTAACTTTAAATTATCCCGTCTACCTTTTGCCTCTAGACTTTTACCTTTCTCTATTTCTGTATACCTTTTCTTTCCTTCTTACTCTGTGTCTGGCTGTATAGCTGGCCTCTAGCATCCTCCACTCCTTGTTCTCTTTCTCTCTCTTCTTTTCCTCCCAGATTTCTCCTCCTAATTATTCTCTCTGCCTGCCAGCCCCAGCTATCCTTTCTCCTGCCTTGCTGTTGACTGTTCAGTGCTTTAGTAGACCATCAGGTGCTTTAGACAGGCAAAGAATCACAGCTTCATAGAGTTAAAACAAATGCAACCTAAAGGAATACAACACATATTTGTATCATTAAACAAATGTTACAGAACATAAACAAATGTAACACACCTTAAAATAATAATAAACAATAGATGTTCCCCATTTTTGCCTAGACTGGCCATTGAACACCAGGAGCTTCTAGTCTTCACCCACCTTGTGCTGGGGGTTATAGGCACCCATTGCCAACCCCTTTGTTTTTGTGTGGGTATGTGAGGGTTCTAAACTCTGGGCCTCTTGCTCACAGAGTAATACATTTTCCTACTGAGCTATCTCTAGTCCCTTTCTTGATGATTTTAAAGAAGTCATAAGGAATTGAATTATCTGATAATTGCATTTGTGTGCAGGTCTTTTTCTATGCGCTATTTGGGAGAGAAGAATGTGTTTTAGTCTAATGACTGTTGAACATTTACAGTCTAGGATTTAGGGATATCCACTGAGTGTTTTGTTGACCCTTGGCTGGGTATGTAACAGTTTTGAAGCTTAGAATAATGTTATAGTTTATATATGTTAATAGAACATATGATCATTTGCTGGTCGGTAAGTAAAACATTTGCATACTTACAGCTGTAAGTGCTATAATATAACATATTATCTTGTAAAGGAGACTGAGAAGGGGTGAGGACAATGTTAGGTGATACGGAAGAACAGAATGCAGGTCAAAGGACATATGCGTCATGAAAGAAGATATAAAGCCAAATATTTTTCTAATTTTAACTCTGTTGTAGTTTTTTCTTACTTTATGTTGGATAAATACACAAAAGAATGTAATTGATAGTGAAATTGAAAAAACCCCAAGTGAAGCTCCATGGCTTCAGAATGGCTATTCTAACTGCATAGAAGTTCATTAAGATGCATGGAGTTTGGAAAAGGGCAAGTATGTTTGAGTGGCTCCTTTATCTAGCTGTGTGATGTTTTTATTTGGAGTTTATTACAATAAGTGATTTTTTAAAAATAATGAAACATTTGCAAGGCAACTTTTGGTTTTTGGAGAAGCTTATGTAGAGTCTAAAGTAAGACAGGCAGTCAAGTGCTCTACTCCCCAAGAACACTTTATTATTACCCAGTTTGACTTTCTCTTTCTGTCTTGTTGGTAGTTGTTTTTCTAATGTCTTTCGAAAGTCAAGGGTGTTCAGAGATCCTGGTGTCCATCCTCTGTGTGACTGAAGTAGAACATCTATTAGTTCTCTCTGAGCCCTTTTTTCTTTGGCTTTTTTCTTTGGCTCATGCCAGATCTTCAAGCTTTGGTACTCTGGTGGTCTCCTCTAACTTTTTTATGGAAGGTTTTCATAGAGAGTGAGAAAGATGGGGTAACATTTGTTTTAGAATCTTGTGAATGCTTTCTAGTGTTGTTCATCTGACCCTGATGGCTGCAATGAATTTAGCTGACACCTCTCCCCTTCTTCCTTGTAGACCTGAATCAGAGCTCAGTCTGTATTCATAGATAGGAAAGACTTAATCAGAAAATCCTTTTCTATACTGTCTTTTGCTCTTCATTGTAGGTTTTTATTTGTTTGATTTTTTTTTTTTTTGAGATAGGATCTAACTGTGTAGGCTTGCTTGTCCTGTAACTTGCTATATAGACTAGGATCACCTTGAACTCACTGAGATTCGCCTGCCTGTGCTTCCCGAGTACTGGGATTAAAGATATACACGACCAAGCCTGCCTCCCATCCTAGTCTCATAAACCACTGTCACATTCTTTGTACTGTTTTACATCTTTATATTTGTGCATATAGTGTCTTTTAATTATGAACTAGTTAATACAGATCTACGAGCAGTAGATTATGATTCCTAAGAGCTATTCTAGATTTCCCTGGGGATTCTTCCCAATGCCATTTGAACCTTTCAAATTATTTAGCCGTGCCCTCTGAGCTGAGAACAGATTGTATTCAGTTTTCCCTGTACTGAAAATGTTTAGCTTTATCAGATATCACACTTAAGAGGCTTTTGTCTTATTTAAAATGGCAGCAGGTCAGAGGGAGAGGTGCTACAGAGGGAAATCAGAGGCGTGGAAGAGGAATCATGAAACATTTAGACTTGAGTTGTGAGTTGGAAGCCTTGTACTTAGTGACAGATTGTTTTAATTTTGCAAGCTGTTCTTTCTTTCTTTTTTTTTTTTTAACCTTGACCTGAATTTGCAGACCAAGGAATTTCATAAGGAAACAGTTTTGCAATTTGAATTTCTTTTGGAAAGCTATTAGATATTTGCAATTAGTCTTTCCTGTTGTACAGTGCCTCTTTCTGTTGTAGGGTGTTTCTCAATATTTCTGGCATGCCAGAAACACAGCTGTGTTGCCTTTTCCTCTTGTTTAGGAAATTTTAATGGCCAGCCATCGCCCACAAACACACCTGGCATTTGGCACATCAGGGTATAATCCTCAGGTTAGTGGATTGACCTAGTGAATACCTTCTCGCTGGACTGTTAATCATTTTAGCCATTTTGTTTAGACTTTAGACTTTGTAAGGTATGTAAGATGTTTTTCTAACCATTTCCGGAATCTCACACAAAGTTTAATTGCTGACCAAATTAAACTTATCTTATGTTTAAATTCATAAGGCCACATTTTTGCTACACTCTGTATTGAGATACACGAGGCTCATCTTATTCTTGATTGCTTCCAGTTACTTGTGTTTTTTTTTTCTAGCAATTTATATTCCTGTGCCAGTACTGTGTTAAGTAATTCAGTTTATTATTATTATTATTATTTTTACCTACATGATTTTTTTTCTTTTTTAACATTTAATTTCAGTTGAAAACTTTCTTGATAATGTAAAGCCTCCTTAGGCTTTGTCATATCATACTATCTCTCATCCAATTACTTATATAAAAATTACTCATCATTTTCTCTTTTAGGACTTGAAAGCTGTAATGTAAGAGAAAAACATCTAGGATACATTGAGTATTGTGTTTTATTCCTTTATCAAACAAGGAAAAATGACACCCAGCATGACAGGCATCCTCATAGCACACACCTGTTAGCTAGTTAGGTTCTTTCCCTCTCCAGTGGGTTAGAACTCTGCTGCTATCTGTCTTTATAGTGCTAGAACTAAAGTACGCTGCTTTTTGCTGTTGGAACTAGAGACCTTCGGAAGGAAGGAGACTACTCTCTAGAAGTGGTGTCAGGTCATAGTAGGGCCGGTCTGGCTGAAGGATGTTTCTGGATCAGCATCTTGGCTTTCACAGTTTTGAGTGCTGATTTTTATTCTGAGAATATATCAGGTCATTCTAATAACATTGATCCCTTTGGTACTGGAAATTTCTTTTCCTAAATTAAGGAAAAACTATTTAAAAGTAGATGTGTGTTAGTACCAGCTGTATAGAACTACTGAACTGCTAGGTGGAGGTGAATCTGTGACTATAATGCAACTGTGAGTTTGTTGATGTTACCAAAGGGACTAGATTGAAATTAGCTTTAAACATCAAGATTTACTTAAAAATGTTTCCTTTGCCACCTCATTTCTACGATATTTTTCAACATAGTGGTCATCATACCATGTATTATCCATAACTGAACTTAAATTCCACTCAATTTTAACAATAAAATAGCATGAAGTTATTGGGAGTAATTTCATAGGTTAGACTTCTTTTAAAAGCTGTCTCTACAATAAAAGAAGACTATATGTTAGTACTCACTGATTCCTCATGAATGCAGGAGCAAACTGCAGTGTTCTTACAAAAGTATGCTGAAGTTGTTTGCTTTTGTTATTTCAGCACCATCCTTTTACAAACGGGAAGCCTTTTCTTCTTCTCTGAAATGAAACAATTAGCAAATTTCAAATCCAAGTTTTTTGGATAACAGCCACTTAAAAATAAGTCATTTTTTTAAAACCACGATTATATTGATATGTAAAGTTTTTAATCACAAGAAATTCTGAACCTTTTCATGTAGTCTTTGGACTGGAGAAGCCCTTCCTGTTCCATGGCTTGGGTTAGTGTTTAGAAGTATTTTTAGTAACAGTCCTAACTCAGTAGCTATGTAAGCACTGAGCGAAGATGGAGTCACAGGGCTGGCTGGGCTTGCTTCCCACAGGGAGGGCTGGGAGTGGGGCAGGAAGGAAGGCCTGTTTCAGCGGCGCCTTGTGTGCAACTATGTCTGAGTAGGCAGCCGGCAGCACAATGTCTCCCTTGTACCAAGTAGCTTTCTCAGAGAGTGCTCAGAGATGTGAGAGCAGAGCATTTGGGTGAGTGAAGAAGCTTGGGTGCTTCAGGGATTCTTGTCGAGTTTTTGTGGTATTTGGATTTCAGGAGTGGACTATTTGTTGTTACAAAGCACTGGCTTTGTGTTCGGTAGCATTTCAGTCTTTCTGAACCAGCTCTGTTGCGGGCAGATTGGAGCAGCTTACTGTTGAAGTGTGAGCTTTATTTAAAAACATGATCGTCTGTGATGAAAAGTTAATTTGTGCTTCTTGACACTGAGAAACTTAATTAAGGCACTCATTTCTAAGAATGGATCCTATGCTCTTTTTAAGATCTACATTTTCCTGTCCTGATTGCTTGTATTTGAAATGCATAATGTTGATTTCAGGGAACTTTTTCCTTGTTTTAAAACAGTCTAACAGTTAATTGTTCACTTAAGTGGCTGAAACAGAAGTATTTAAGTATTAAGTTACTTCAGTTTGGACTTACAAAGTTCAGTTTTCACTGTAAGAATTGGCTTCCTTTGAAAAAACTTTATTTTGTGATTAGTTAGTGTACATGGCTGGTGCTTTTAGAATTAAAAAAATATTTTCAGCAGCATTTAATTATCAGGCCATAAGTAGTTAACTTTTTATAGAGTACACATATTTATAGTTTGTTGCTTTTTAATCTGCCTAGTGGAGTGTGACAATATGAACCGCTTTGACCGATCAGACAGAAATGTACGCCAGTCACAGGATGGATTTTGGAAAAGAGCACCCCAGAGGTGGAGTGGACAGGAGCATTATCACCTTAGCCACCCTGATCACTATCATCACCATGGGAAAAGTGACTTGAGCAGGTGAGTATTGCTCTGGCTGCAGCTCCACTTCCGTCCTCTGCGAATGGAACTGACAGTTCTGTCTCCCAGCTGATTCTGCCTGGAGTTCAGGTTAGGCATGGTATGTAATTGTTATAATAACTGTCTTTTCTTAGCTGGGCTCTTTTCAGTAGCTTTATTGCAGATTTACAAATTGCATTTACATCTATTACAAGGACTTATAAGTTGTGCTATGACTTTGTGGGGGCGAGGGTTCTCACTTGGGCATTAATGAAGATTAACTTCGTTTATAATTTTTAAAAATATAGTAGAAAGTAACTACTAAGTTATTGGGTTGTTTTGTTTTGTTTTGTTTTCTTAAAAGTTAAACATGTAAAATTCCACAAATACTATTAAGAGATTTGATATGACACTAGAAGTACTTTGTATTTTAAAGCTTAAAGTAGTATGAAATTGGATCAGACCATGTAGTATAATGGGCTCACAGCCATTCACACCTGGGGTCAGAGCTTCACCTGGTATAGATTAGCTTTGCAAGCTTAGTTTATTTAATCCTCTGCACACTACAGCCTTCAGTCTAACATTTGTGAACAGGCTTGAAAACACTTTTCTGTGAGTATTCATGGATCAGGATAAATGTGCTAGTACCGTACCTGGTTTGTGGTAAGCAATGACATTTTTTTATTAAAATTTTTGTGAATATCTTGTTCCACAAGGGATTTATGTTTATCCTGAAGCATATTGTAGTGCAAATAATAAAACTGAGATGAGGAAATAATGGAGGGGAAGCATATGGTCCTCTGTACCTCCTAAAATAAGAAACAAAGTATTGTTTAGGGTCCTTGTAGCAAAAGAAAGAGCAAAGCTTGGCCTGTTGATACCAGATACAGAGTGTGCATAAGATAGAGAATTTGTTTCTCTTGGATTTGTTCACTTTATAGGCTAAGTGAAGAGGGAGTTGTCATGTGTGTGTTCTAAGAAGAGTACATGGGAAATACACTGGACAGGTCCTGAGTGGCACAGTAACTTTCTTAGCTCTTCTTTGTTATATTTTTCTGTCTTTGCTGAACAAATTCTAGTCTAATAAAATATTCTTTAGTGGACTAGGAAAAATGGGGTTCAATTAAAACCATCCGTTGGAGTAAATAAATAGAAGGATATAATTGGGCAATCTGGAAGAATTCATGCAGTACTTCTTCAAGGCATCAGAGAGTTGATCCTGTCAGGCAGGAGCCCGATGTAAAGATTGTCTTCATCACTACTAATGGCGATCATGCTTCTCTAATCTTGCTATGTCTTTGAAATAAGTTAAATTAAGGCAGGTGTAGGAAGCCTAAGTAAGTCATAAGCAGTTCAGTATCAGTTACTTTTGCTTTGCTGTCACTCCAGTACCTAACAGAAACAGCTAACAGAGGGGATAGGTTTGTTTTGTCCAGAGAGTTTGAGTCCATCATAGCAGGGGAGGCAGGCGAAGCAGCTCGTGGTGTTAGGAACATGTGATGGAGGTTCCTCACATTTCTGCAAACTAGGAATCCAAAAGTGAGCCTGTAGCTAACGACCAGGTATAAACTTCAACAGCTTAGCCATAATCATTTATTTCTACCAGATCCCCTCCTTCTACATTCTCCAGCCTCCCAGAATATCATTACCATCTGGGAACAAATAAACACAACATGAGCCTATGAGAGACATGTCATATTCAAACCATAAAAATGCTTATTTTTAAAATTTGTTCATTCACCTAATAAATACTCATTGGTAGTCTATATATTATATAACATGGCACAGTCTTATGCTGGTATGAATTTGGAGATAGTACGAGAGGTGAAAGTTGTGGATTGGTAATAACTTCTTGGACTATTGTAGTAAAGATGATAGGAAGAATTCTGCACTGATGCAGCTTAATAGTAGACATCTTAACACTGAAGATAGGAAGAGACTTGTGCATGCTCCATTTCATACAGATATGAATAGTATACAGAGTCTGTGGGGACAAGCTGTGACAATGTGTGCCTAATAAAGGGATGGAAAAGGGATGCCATGAGCTCTCAGCAGTTCTTTCTGTTTGTAGTCTTATCTAGGATAGCACAGAATAAGCGGTTACTTCTGAATCAGTCTGCAGGTCTGACTGGAGACTGCCCGAGGGTAGTATAGCGTCTGAAGGAGAGGAGTGAGCACTCAGCCTGGCACAAAGGAATTGCAGAGTTTGTGTGGTCGAGTCTGCCATGTTCAGACACCCACTCTTCAAGTTTACTGTAGCTGTATTTCTTGTTGATTTGGAAGAATGAGTGACATGAATATAACTCTAGACAATAGACTATCATATCTGCAGTTTAAGATAAAGGGAGGCAAATTTCAGCATAAAGGAGACATTACTCAGCCTATAAGAAATGAATGGGTAACATGGAGGTAATTGTCTCTGTCCTTAGAAATGGCTCAACTAAGGCTGAGTGTAATCATCTATCAGAAAAGTTAGAAAGTATAGCCCTCGTCCCCCAAAAGTCCAGAACCCTAAACTCTAATTCCCTACATCTTAACAGGTCAGATAAATAAAAGAATGAACAAATTAAATTGTTTAAATGGTGGCTGCATTATACATTTTTATATAAATTGTGATTCCGCAGAAGTTAGAAAACATACAACATTTCCCCAAAACATGATCACAAATCCCCCTCAGAGTTTATAGACTTTAAGGCACTTGTAACTGTGAATTGTCAGTTCCTAGTGGTTGGTAGTGAGGGGAGAGCGATGCACACAGTGTTCTTCAGGTTGTAATCTGACTTACTGGGCATAGAGCTTTCTAAGGAGTGAGTGGTAATGCTGCTAATGCTGAGACTCATAGGTTGACTGGTTCCCTTTATCTTCAGCTTCTGTGTTTGTCCTGGCTTTTCCAGGCATGCCAGAGCTCTTTACAAGGATGTGTCTCACAAAAAGACACCTTCCACAGCAAGCCTTGGAACTGTCATTTTCTGTCTCCACCTTAAAGTGTGAAAGAGTTTGAGAGTAGAAACCTCAAGATCTTTTTCATATCAGGTGTACAAGTCCCTCTTCCTGTTCCCTAACTCGAGTACTGGTCCCCTTTCTTTTCTTGCTTAACCACTATTGTTATCATAGTTCACGATAGCAGTATGTCTTAGCCATAACTTAGGCCTGTTGGGGCATTACTGATCCATATGTTCTCTGATATTCTCATCATAATGCCACTTTTTTCTTTTACCCCAGCTTATTCCACTCCTATTTTCTCCCAAGAGCCCCCCTTTCCTAAACTTTTATGCCATATGGAGTTCTCTCTACCCTAACAAATTTACAGCCTTATCCTCCTTGTGGTTATGCCCCTAATTACAGCAAATCTAGTATTTACCTACATGTATTTTTTTACAGTAGCATTTCTATAGGTGAGATTCTTATTTTCTAGGAGTCCTAGTATTTTCCCGTTTGGAGATGGGAGAGTCTTCGTTGTCACTTCTGAATCAAGTATTTTTAAGTTGCTATTTTCAGACTTGGGCCTTTTCACTGATCCCTCTCTGTGTACTTTATAAAAATCGTGGACCCTTGGCTTACTGTCCTCCTTTATTGTAGGCTTTGATACAGCCATGAACAACTCCATTGTTATGCAAATGATGGTTTTAACTTTTTCCTTAGCTCTTAGGATTTTCTATTTATACTTTATGTCATCTGAGAACAGATAGTTTTACTTTTTCCTTTCCAATCTGTATAGTTTACTTTCTTGCACAATTACTATGGCTACATCTTTTGGTGCAGTGTTGAATAGAAGCCGATATTAATGGGAACTATTCATCTTTTAATATCAAGAATGGTATTGTTTTGTTGTTTTGTTTTTTTAAACATATTTTCTTTACCAGTCTGAAAAGATTCTCTTTTATTCATGCTTTGTTGACCATGTTTATCTTGATGGCATGCATATCTGGGCTTTCTCTAATGCTTTGTCAGTGTCCATTCAGATGTCTTTCCCCTCCTTTCATTCTGTTATACAGTATGTCACATGACTTTTCGCTGTTGAGCCAGCCATCTATTTCTCAAAGAATTCAGGTGCTTA